TACATACGATAAAGTTATTATGTATACTAGCATTAACTTTACTTTTTGGTCGACAAAAACTAGATGCTTAGAACTAAATCTTTTTTAATGTAGAGTCCAGCCTTCATTCATTTTAACATTATTAATAAAAATAGATACTGTTTAAAATGCTTTTTTGTTCATCATCGATTTATATACATACATATTTAATAGATTTAGACTGAGCAGAATAAATGATGTTTTATTAAAAATTTGTTTCGTCGCAGAATATTGATTCATGTACGTTCGCTTTATCGCTCACTCGATCTAAATCTATTTTTATGACGAGGAATATTTTAAATATACTACAAAGTTCGAAAAGTACATTTGAAGCATACATTATAATTGTGTATTTTAAATGTTTATAATTACGCTTGCTATATTCTCATATATTTTAAATATTTTACAATTATAACATATATTTTAAGTATTGTACGGTAGACAATCAATATTGTTAAATTTATACGAAAATTTAATATATAATATATGCTTGCTATTTTTATATTTAAAAAATTTTAAATATATATTTGAATTGTATATTTTATATGTACGTTCTAAAATTTTTAAAATATGAGAATAGCAAGAGTATGTTAAATATTCGTGTGTAAACTTTTTTTAGCTTAACTCCATTAATTGTTACAAATACAAATAATAAATATGATATAATTACTCCATTCAGAGATTCATATATTTTTATAATAATTATACATTATAACATTAATTATTGCGACGTAATTTTGCCACTGTATGTCTGTTTGCGTTCCTTGCACTTTTTGGACTCAGCATCTTCGTTTTTCCTCGCTTTAACACTCTCGAATTATATATATCGATTTTATTTTAAATGTAAAAATTTTTGATGATTTCAAGCAACGCGAACGAGCCTCGATGTCTCGTCGAGTCTCGTTCGCAGACTACCGTTTTTACCAACAAGATAAATCGCATTGCCGCGTCTAGATGGCGTAGGTAGTCACTATTTTGACAAACCATCAATGACGACAGTCCACGAGATATTGTAATTGATTAATAAATATTAAATTGTATTATTAGCGATATATCAAATTAATAAAAGTGATTCTCGATTGAGGTGCAATAACGAGCCCTTTTGCTACCCCTTTTTTGATAAATACCTACGCTATAATAACCGTGACGTCATGATTATCGCCATTTTCGATTTGTGTCATCCGCTGTTGTTATAAACTGGTAGCCGTCATCGCAAATAATTTGCTAGATATCATCGTGCCTCGCAGATTTAATTAGCTTCGATTGTTCGTGCATTTGACATATTTATAGGTGAGTAAGAAACAAAGCAAGTGTATTATATTACACGATATTGAGATCATTGTAGTGAGATCATCGTCCCCGATGTAATGCTAATGATTAAATTTATTTGTTATTTTTCGTGATAGCATTTCCATTATATTTTCATGTTTGCGTATGCGGGTCCTCTTTGTTTATTAACAAGACTGAGCGATGAGTATTATGTAGGTTGATAAACATATAAATAGAGCTTCTTCAGAAACATATGCGTGATTTTTGAGGTTATGGGCGTGTACCTGTTATTTATTTTGTTGACTTCTGTGGAATTTGTTGCAAGGAGTTTTTTCATTCTTTATATTACTTTGTTTTGTTCAATCTGAGATCCTATAGATGGTGGTCGTAAATTGACAAAACGTTCGCGCAGAGATCGTGTTGGTGGAACAGGTTAGTCAGAAGGAGTCCTTGTTATTTTTTCAGGACTATGGAGGGTGGTGGTGCAGGAGGAGAAATGGGCGGACCGCATAACCCCCAGCAAGCGGGTGCAAGCAAGAAACTGCAGCAGACTCAGGCCACTGTAGATGAGGTTGTAGGTATAATGAAGGTTAACGTGGAGAAGGTGCTGGAGCGAGATCAGAAGCTGTCGGAGCTCGAAAACCGTGCAGATGCCTTACAACAAGGCGCGACGCAATTCGAACAACATGCCGGCAAATTGAAACGAAAGTACTGGTGGAAGAATCTGAAAATGATGCTCATCCTTGGCATCATATGTGTTATAATTTTAATCATCATTATTGGTGAGTACGCGACACAGACTTGTGAATCTGGTGTTAATGCTTCTGACCTCTGCATAGTTACATTTGTTTTTTTCTTCATCTCTGTGATAGCTTCGGTTGTGCCAAGTTCGTCTTCAGACTCTGATAATGCTCCAAAATGATAGCGTTGTACCAAAGGAAAGACACGGTGTCATACCGAACAACCATTTTCTCTCTTAGGATAAGTTATATATTTGGTAAAGTACGTACAAGGGGAATTGTCAAGGCTGGAGATGAAGCGCGAATGTGAATTATCATGTTTGTAACGTCATCCGCACAAAAATTGGGAACAAAGAGAACATATTTTTGAGACTTATTATTGTACTGGAGTCCACATGATTATTAGACTAACAACCAGTATTAATACAAGTGGCCTTTCTTTTTTTAAACATAATAATAAAATAAACATTGGGATATTCTTATGATGTTAATCTTGTTACAGCAATGCTTATTATATTATATGAATTATACATAATATATATAATGTTTGTACTCTTTTCGAATTTTCTTAATATTTCGATTCTCCTCCAGCCTCCTGCTCTCCGTTCCATCACACGTAATTGAAAGTAGACTGAGCGAAATTGCAATTCTTTTTATAAAGTAATTATACGCAATTGTCATAATTTCCTTCACCGACAGCACCATGTCAAATTGTCTTGAAGTCGTTAAGAATATTGTATGAGTCACTTCACGTTTTCTCAGCGTCATAAAAACGAATGTTGCGCTGAACAACGGTGATCCGCAAACCACATATTTTTACTGTGGATTCCCCTTCAGATTTTACATTCAATTACATGTCTAGAAAATATCGGTTACTCATAAATATTTATGTCTCGACGCCTTCCGCTCTGCGGTTTGTAACGTCGATTTCATTAGATCGAAAGTTATGCATATTCGTTGATAAGCAATTTCTGCATTGCTAAAGTTCAAAAATTCAGGGTCGTTCTTATTGAGGAAGGGGAAGGCTTGTTTAATCAAATGCGACGGCGTCAATTGCATCATAAAATATAGAAAAAAATTACACGCGCTGCAGGTGCACGATAAGCGTGTATATGTACAGAAAAGGGAAAATCTTTAATTCCAAAGTAGCACAATTCGTATAAATACGTAGAAATATTTAGTTCTTTTTGCTATCGTGATATAAATTATGCAAAATTTGTTATATATTCTACATAATACATATGTATGATCATAAATCATAACATATTCGCTGTCACATTAAGTAAAATCAGATCATTTTTATTTTCAATGATATCGTATATTGTTAATATAAGAAGCTTATATACCTTATATATATTATAATTTTATTTGAAATGTTATTAATTTAATTCATATTTATTTTTCTACCAACTTAAATTAATTTTAATAACATTTTAAATTATTTTATATATAAGATATATAATCTTTTTATTAATAGTACGATATTGTTGAAAATAAAAATAATCTGATTTTTAGGATTAAAAAAGACGAATAATAAGTTGAGACAAGATTAAAGTTGATCTACTTGGGAAATCTTGGTGGAAATTATAACGAGCAAACTTGGTGTAATCTATCTTGATAAAAACGGACATTAATATTTCATGCAGATTTATATGTATCGCGTAAAATTAACTTGATATATGCAGAAATAATTTGAGATATCTTCCTAATAGAGGAAGTAGAGCGTGATCGATTGTTATCGGGTATTATTCTTACTATTTATCTCTTCAATCATCTAATCACGATCGGAAGTATCGTTGACGACCTCGAAAACGTTTATGAAAGGCAAAATTATCGCGTCCCTTTGATGGTCAATTAGTACCGTTCTCCCGTCAATCGACATACGTTCGTGAATCATTCGGCGAATTCGCTACGGTCAAGGCCAATCGCTCATATTTTGTATGTATAACGTTCATTACAGTGAATGCAAAACGTTTATTCGAGCGAAATTTTTATTTAAAAAAACCTGATCTACAGAAAATAAATATTAATTAGCAATTTTATACAATGAGCCCGTCTTAATTCTGTCTTAATGCAAACAAAACAGATTTGCATGTTGATAATTTTATTAAATAATTTTATTAGAAACTAAATTTCTCGACTGTACGAATTTTTGTTTACATAAGAAAACTTTATTTTCACTTATTTTTAAGATGTTAATAATTAGACTACGAATATTTATGCAACATACTTAACTGAATATTTTGCATAAAATGCATATTTTACATAAATTGCATATTTACAGATGGCACAATCTCAACCTTTTTACTTTACTTTTTAATAACTCTTTAACAAACAATGATTGACTGCTAAAACTGTCCGATTATTAATATTTAGTTAAGTATTTTGCATAAATATCCGCATTCTATTAATGTTTCAATTATTACACATATTTTTAGCACATTTATTAAAACTAACATTATTTAGAGAAATATATAATCTCTCTCTCTCTCTCTCTCTCTCTCTCTATTTAATCCTCACTTAATAAATTGCAAATTAATGTTCACTTTTTAAAAGTAAAATTTTTTTTAAAGATATCTTTTTTGAATACTTTTTGCACTATTGGAATTTTAAATCAAGTGCGAGTAAAACGTCGAAGGCATGTGGAAATGAAAAGGTCATCGCCTACAGCCTGACTCATTAGATATCTTACGTTGAAGTTGGGATTCTCGCATCGTCTTTGATAAAGTCAAACTACGCTCTTTTCGTCGAATTAAATTACATTCATGGGGAAATGTCAATCTCGTTTTTCCGCTTTCAAGTTGATACAGACGATGTTTATTCTTGTCGTCGCGCAAGTCGCTCGAGTCTTTCGCTAATATTATCAGTCGTCGTGTTTATAGAAGAAACGTTTGACAGTATAAGGCTGTAGTTACGATTTGCAATACAATCTGGTACTATCTTGAACCGTCGGTTATGATTTTATCGGCAGTGGCGGCGCAAAAGATCGAAGCGATTCGCGTGGTGCTCATCGCAGAATTAATTTTTTTTATAAAATTCCCTCTATAAAGCTTTTAGAATAAATGTCACTCTGAATAATGAAATCTCACACTCTTGAAGATTGAAAATTGAGCTTCTCTTTTTTAAGATTGGCTCAATTTTCATTCTTCAGAGTAAGATTCTACTCCGAAGAATTCGGAGAGATTATTTCTAAGAAAATGTAAGATTATTAACTGCACGGAAAGAATTTTTTTTCTTAGAGTTTATCCTGAAAATATGATTGTCTGGGATAACATTATATTGTATTTCGAAGAATTTTAATGTAAATCTCTCTCATTTATTAATAAAATTACAATAAGGTATAAAATAAGTTTGATTAATTTTATTGAAGTGCATAGTAAAAATCTTTAAAATATCGTATTGTACCACAACTATCATATTTTCAGAATAAATTTTAGAAGAAAATTTTCTCCATGTAGTAAAATTAATGATAATCGCGTACTGATTTTAAATATTCGCACGATAAAGTTTCTTTCCTCGTCGATAGAATAAAGGCCGCGTAATCCGCTGGAAATCCGCGAAATCCACGTGATCTTTGCGTTTCCCACAAGCAGCAAAACCGCGTCGAAATTTTGTTGCGAAAGTGTGCGAGAGCAACGCGGCAACTCGTTATGCGATTTTACGTCAACGAGCGTCGCGCGAATCCGAGGAATCGATCGTATAAAAGAAGCAGACGGCGGCGACACCCACTATCGTCTTCGCCGCCGTCGCCGTCTGCCGTCGATGTAGGATTTTGAATTTCCTACAAATACAGAGAGTGACTGAAATCTCGGCCGCTTCATTCATACACCTATCAGTCGGCTCACGACCGTCCAGCCGGGCAGTCAGAGGCGCTCGCGAAGCGCGCGCTCGCTGCGTCTCGCCGTCACAAGCGATTTCGCGCCGCAGTCGCGACGATCGACGATCCTTGACTGAAAAGTCCGGCACTCCGCGAGGTAAACCACGTTCACGGATCCGGGTGATACTATTGTTTCCTCACACGAGGAAGCTCGAAGCTCCAGGCGACGTCTTGGAAGATAATTTCGCCTAATCTTCTCTCCTCCGAACCGGTAATTTCGGAGACGCGGATTTTTTTTTTTAATAAAACATCTCCCAGAGAAAGAGTGTGTTATTCCTTAGATAGTTTAACGTACTGCCACGTATACGTCTGTCTGAAAGTGTCACCACATTTTGGGAGCTTCGCCGAAACAGAATTTCGCGAAATACTTCACTGGAAGAACAGTCTCGCGGCTGCGTTAATTGGAATCCTAGTTTAAAATGGACAAACCAAAATTTTCTGATTGAATTCTTTAGTTGAAATAATCAGAAGTCTTGATGGATATGATTGTAATCTTCTGGTTCGTTCATTTTCAACCGGAAATTTTTCTCAGTGTTCGGAAGTGAAGTAGAGGATTTTTAACTTCGTTGCGCAAAGCGATAACGCTGGGTTACGTTATTTGCGTGCCACTATCGTGACGAGCTTATTTGGCTCGCAAAACGTCCTCGACGTCAATATTTATTAGTTCGAAAGTCCATCTCGTTTGAAGAATAACGTTTCTGAGTTGATCGAGAAACGCGCAGGTTCGATTATTGGATTCGATACTTTTTAGTCCGTGTCATCGGGACACGATTCGTCGCGTTTGCTGGCCGATCGCGCTGCACAGACCGGTGTTTGAACAGTGACTGGACGATATTTTCAGCTTTTCTTTATCTTTTGCTCGCGGCTGTTCTCGCACTGCGAAAGCTACCGACGTCCACGTGATCGTTGTAGTACTTTTCGCGCGTTTTCTTCGAAAGCGCGTCGTCTTCGCGATTTAAATTTTCCGTGGGCAAGAGGTTCAATTCGATTTGGTGCTTTTCGTCGCGTGATTTGAAAATATCTGCGTATGGATTAATAAACGAAATTATCGCAAGTGACAGGGTCATTTTTGGAATGTGATCTTATGCAGTAAATTCGGAGTAACTTGCGAAGTTAACGGTATTGATTGGAAGCTATCGAAGGGAAGTACGTATAAGCGAATTGCTCCAACAACTGGTTATTAGTGTTCTTGTACTACAATACGAATTGTAATCCGATCAATAATTGACAATTCTCGTGTTAAACAATAACATTTGGCATTTTTGTATGCCAGAGTTTTTTTGACGGAATATTTTTTTTGCATTGACCTTTCATTCGATTCGTGCGATTTTGTTGTCGATGATCGCAAATATTGACACTCTGTCAAAAATGAGAGCTTGGAAATTCTTGAAAAAAAAAGTAGAAACGTCAATCTATGATGCTGATTGTTGTGTATCCAAAGTGAAGAGTGTCATCGATGAATTGCCGCCGCTATAAAGAGAAAGAACGAAGAAGAAGGGGAAGAAAATTCGATGTCTTCGACGAATTAATCGTGGACCAAACTTTCTTCATCTTTTTTGAATTTCCGCCCTCCAGAGACACAGTTTTTCGGAAAAAAAACGCTAGATTCATCTGCGATTCTTCC